CGGAGACCCAACCCCTGTGCTCAGCCCGAGATGCTCGAGAGTTGCCTTTGAGCCAGTCCTGTAGGAGGTGAGCAGGCTAAGCGGCTGCCTGCAAAAAAAGAAAAAAAGTCCTTAAATGAGGCGTGGCCCCTTGCTTAACGATCCTGATGGCTTACAACCGAAATATGGGCTTAATTACAAGTGTAAATTTTTCTGGCTTTGCCAGAAAATTTGGGTAACACAGTAAATCACCATCTTGTCTAGGATCTCTTCTTTCGCTCAGAAATATTTTTCCATCGCAAAATCTAAACTTGGAAATGATGGGTCCTTCCCCCCTTCCCCCCCCCCCCCCCCCTTCCATCCTAGATCATGCTGTCTCCGGATGCCAGGAATACCGCGTGGGTTTCGTTTGACGGGAGGAAGAGGCAGGAGATCTGCCACGGGGACAGGTGAGGGTGTCTGAACGATCCCCGATTTGGCCAAAGAAAGGGCTTTTTCCCTAAACAATCAAGAAAGGCCCAAAAATAGAGGGGGAGAAAGGGGTGGGCATTCAAAACTGGTTCTTTGGCCTTAGAGAAGCCACTCTGATTTAAACCCCAAACAACTTCTCAGTCCGAAGCAATGCAGATATTTGGGGAGACCAAAACGTTTGGGAGCCAGGCCGTTTTCGGCTGGCTTTGTCTTTAACTGGCCTCCCTTCTTGGCTTCCCTCTAGCATCAGCATCACAACCTCCTGCTACCCTCTCCCTTCGATCTGCTTCCAAGATCCTGTCAGCGACTGGTTCGAAAGCCTGGCTGAGTGTTTACACTGGAACGTTAGGAAGAAGCAAAATCACTTCGCCATCGACGAGGAGGAAGGATTTTGAGTGTCTGGTATGCATCGGAAGAAGAGGGAACAAAAGGGAACTTTCCTAGTCTATAAGTATTTGCAGCCTGTAGCCTTTAAGAGTAACTTTCCCCTTATCCGTATATATCCATCTCTCCCTCCTTCTCTCTCTCTCTCTTTATATCTATCTATCTATCTATCTATCTATCATCTATCTATCTATCTATCTATCTATCTATCTATCTATCTATCTATCTCTATACCTCTATGGATATATGGCTATATATAGATATATAAATGGATATATAATATAAATGGACATTTATAGAGAGGGGGAGGGAGAGAGAAGTATATATGGGTACATAAATATATGGATATGGATATATAGTTGTATAGATGTAGATATATACATATATGTAGATAGAAAGTGATAGATGATAGACAGACAGACAGACGGATAGATGTGGTTACACACACACACACACATGCAGATGCAGCTAAAAAGTCCAAAAGAGTATCTTTTAGTTGACATTGAGTCCTGACAGATAGATAGATAGATAGATAGATAGATAGATAGAGAGAGAGAGAGATCTACACACACACACATATATATTTAGATATATAGATATATATATAAAGGTAGCAACGTACCTCATATCAGTCTGCCCTACTGATGCCCAGCTGTGCTGTTAGTTTCCTACCTTGTTAAACCAACTCTGGAGAGAAGAGGGACAGGCACAACATGGCTTAACCTGGGCCACGGAAAGAAAGCAGCAACTTTGTGAAAAACACACCGTGCTGCCTTCCCAGCGACCGATTCCACGTCCAGCAACAAGGGAAGCTGTCTTGAAAGGAACGACATTTGCTCAGTCGGTTCCCAAATATTGTCAAATCCACCCACGATTCCCAAGGGCCGTAGCGAGGGGGGCAGGGGGGGAAGACTGGCATACAAACAGCCTCTTATCCATTCGGCAAATTTGCCACCGCTAAAATTTCTCCTTACCGCCGGTGCCTTTTCTTCCTTTCTCCTCTTTCCTCAGTTTACAAAAAAAAGGAGGCGTGTTTTGGAGGTTTTTTTCCCCCCAGTGGCTGCTTAGAACCCCTTTTCCCTTTTTCTGTTTCAGTGAGCCTCTTTTTTTCTATCTGTCTTGTGTGATCCGTCTGTCCTTGAAGGGACCAAGGCAAGCTGGACTCCTGTTCGTTTTTTTTTTTTTTTTTTCAACCCGCTTTCGGCATCTTCCAAAGTAGTTTTGTTGTTTTTTTCTTCAGTCTCTTTCGGATGTAACAAACAAACGAACAAACTAGCAGGTGAAGCCTTCCATTTGGAGACTCTGCTCTCGTGTGAGAATTCTTGGCATCTGAAATAATTCCGACACTCTGCTCCAAATCCATACTTTGAGTTACGGCGGGGTTGAAAAACCTACCACGGTCCAAAAAAATGAAAGAAAGGAAAACAAAAAAAACTCTTTTGCAGACATTCTTCCAACAACTCAACTTTTTTTCTGTGGTCAGGATTCCTGCAATTTGCTCCTCTTGAAGTCATGGCCAAACATTGACATGGTCAAAAACAAAAACAAAAAAAACGGATGGAGAGTAGAAATCCTGATTTAACAGCTGAGGACAATCCTGTGAAATTCTGCCAGACACGGAAATAGCTAAAAATTCCTATCCTTCTCTCTGAGAATCCAGTGTTGCTGAGCTGTTTCCTTCTGGGCCACTCAGGGCTAAAGCTGTTTGAGACAAGGATGCCTTCGATAGATTTTAAGTCCTAAGGAATATGAAGCTGTTGCTGATGGAATGGAGGATACCGACATCTCTTCGAGATCAAACCACTGCAAGAATATCCAGCTGAAGTTGGGGGGTGGGGAGAAATCCTTCCTATGTTTCAATTGTCTTCAAACATACTGTGTGTCCTTTCCCCCCCCCCCCCCCCCTGTTGTTATATTATCTTCTCTTGTTATTGTCTAAGTTTCTATCTCATGAATATGGGGAGAAAGATAAAGAGACGGCTTTTACAGAGATAAATAATAAAGGGGATTTTTCAAGAACGGGGAACATCCATACTTTTGAAATTCTCCATCTGTATCCAAAGTCTGCTTTTGTTTTCGTCCAGGAGAGGACAAAAGAGATCATTCCCTGATTTCGAAAGAAATATATATATATATGAATTTTTTTCCTTGCAGGAAAGGAGTTTGCTATTCTTGTGTTTGGTTATTTTTGAAGGCAGGAATCCTTAAAGTGAATATTATTATTATTTTTAAATGGGTTAGCTGCTTGCTCCCTTGATCACTCTGTCTGGTGGAAATAAGAGCATAAGTTATTTAGAATTCTTTTTTTTTTACTGTTCTCTTCAGTATTAAGAATTCCCAGGATCTCCAGCCCTGTGTTTGGTCTTTTTCTCTCTAGATAGATAGATAGATAGATAGGTAGGTAGGTAGGTAGGTAGGTAGGTAGGAAGGAAGGAAGAAAGAGAAAGAAAGAAAAAAGAAAGAAAGAAAAAAGAGAAAGAAAGAAAGAAAGAAAGAAAGAAAGAAAGAAAGAAAGAAAGAAAGAAAGAAAAAGAAAGGAAAGAAAGAAAGAAAGAAAGAAAGAAAGAAAGAAAGAAAGAAAGAAAGAAAGAAAGAATAGAATTCTTTATTGGCCAAGTGTGTTTGGACACACAAGGAATTAATTTGTCTTGGTGCAAATACTCTTAGTATACATAAAAGAAAAGATACATTCGTCAAGAATCATAAGGTACAACACTTAATAATAGTCATAGGGTACACTAAGCTATCAAATCATACCAGGAAACAGTCAATATAAATCGTAAGGATACAAACGACAAAGTTACAGTCATACAGTCACAAGTGGGAGGGGATGGGTGATAAGGAGAGATGAGAAGATTAACAGTAATAGTAGTGCACACTTTGTAAATAGTTAAACAGTGTGGAGGGAATTATTTGTTTAGCAGAGTGATGGCTTTCGGGGGAAAACTGCCCTTGTGTCTAGTTGTTCTGGTGTGCAGGGCTCTATAGCCTCGTTTTGAGGGTGGGAGTTGAAACAATTTATGTCTGGGATGTGAGGGGTCTGTAGATATTTTCCCAGCCCTCTTTTTGACTCCTGCAGGATACAGGTCCTCCATGGAAGGCAGGTTGGTAGCAATTGTTATTTCCTGCAGTCCTAATTATCCTCTGAAGTCTGTGTCTGTCCTGTGTCTGTCCTGTTGATTATAAGGGAGATTGTCATAAAACTGCAAAGTGGGATTAAGCCCCCAACGATAAATAACTTATCACAATCATGTGATTATAAGCATCCCAACACTTGCATCTGGAAAACAAACATCTGTCTGGAGCCGTTGATCCCGCGATAACCCAGGGAAAAACAGCAAAGTAAATGAGTGGCCGATAAATGTTTTCCCTGGAGCAGAGTTCTAGGAAAAGGGGTAACATTTTTCCACTTAGCCTATTGTGTGTGTGTTGTTGTTTTTTAGCAAGAGCCAGTCGGTGGAGCAAATAGGTATTGAGTTATAAATCAGCAGGGAATTATGAAAAGGGCAGGCTCTTCGTAAATGGGGGAAATGCCAACTTGCCGTAGGAAATATCAGAGTTAGCATGAGAGGTTAAGAAATGCAAATGTGGTGCCTTTAGTGCAAGTTGAACTAAGCCATTGCAAGTTTTTTTTTAAGAGTAATAGAGTTGGAAGGGACCTTTGAGGTCTTCTAGTCCAGCCCCCTGCCCAAGCAGCAGACCCTATACCATTCCAGACAAATAGCTGTCCAGTCTCTTTAGCCTCCAGTGATGGGGAAGCATCTACAACCTCTGGAGGCAGTTTGTTCCACTGATAAATTGTTCTGTCAGGAAATCTCTCCTTAGTTCTACATTGCTTCTCTCCTTGCTTAATTTCCATCTTTTGTTTCTTGTCTTCTGATTGCTTTGGAAGATAGCTTGACCCCCTCTTCTTTGGGGCAGCCCCTCAAATATTGGAACATGGCTATCGTGTCACCCCTAGACCCTTTTTTTCACTAGAGAATAAAAAATAAAAATAAACGTTTGCAGGAATTGGCAAGGTAGCCAATTCCTGCAAATGTTTATTTGAAGAGCAAACTTTTCTGTCTGGAGTAGACGAGGTCAAAAAAAAAAATATTACAAAACACAATCGTGCCATTGATCCTTTATTGAAAAATACAAGGCCGGTAACAAATTTTTTTCTTTAAAATTTATTTATTTAAATAAAGCATTATGGTAGAGTATGAAATACAAGGGTTTTGTTAGAAAAAATCACTTTGTTATGAAGAATAGCTCAGCTAAGATATTCACATCGCTGGGGAGTGTTTTGAAAAAATAGGACCAAACTTTGTTGAACTTTTGAAAAAGAGAGCTCTCTGGAGTCAGCAAGAAATCAGCCATGCTGATATTGACCCGAAGGAAACTTTTAGCTGGGAAGACCCTACGGTTAGAGCCAAAAGTTTGAGAGATAGAAACTCAACCTGGGTCTGATTTAGACGGAGAAGCTGCCCCCTTGCAAGCGCCCAGTTGGCGCAACACAGATGGGACAATTTTAGGTGAACGGTTTACCGTTCATTCTATTCTGCCTTCGGTGGGTCCTGGCCCCGAAATTCTTCAGGTGGGATAAAAACTTGTGCCTTTTTTTTTTTAAAACAAAAGGAAAGGGGTATGTGCAAAATGGAGGGCGACCAGTACGCTGTTCTCTGCTTTTCTGGCACCACACCAGAAGGGCAGAGATTCTTCCTTTCCAGGTTTGCAGGATCCGAAGCGATCCTTGCAACCTTGGAAGCGTGAAAAACAGGCCGTAGGAGAGTGCAGCAAACCACAAGCGATGGAAGAGAAACTGGTTTTCTGGTGTCACACTGGATCGGAGAGCAGGTTCAGGCCAGGCAAGCCGGGCCTGAGGCTCTTTTAGGGTGAGAAAAAGGTGCGTTGTTTTTTTTTATTGGAACGACGGCCGCATCCCAGGGATTTGCTTTGCAATTTGGCAACCGAAATCTGCCCCATTGGTCAAGTTCAGACATGCCAACCGTAGCAGGGCCCAAATTAAGTTAAAATAAATAATGGGGCTACAATACAGCCAGGGGAGCAAAGGCCAGACACCTCCAAACACACACACACACACACCCCAGCACGAGAAAGGCCACTCGTAGTTGCAAGCTACATCTTAAGTTCCTTTGGGAGAATTGGGAGGATGTGTGGTTTCGTTGGCTTTCCTGCGTTGAGGAAGGCTGGCGGGGTGGATCCCAGAGAAACAGCGAGGCAGCGTGGGATCCTAGAAAATGCAGCAAAGGGTCTCCCTTGGGATCCAGTCTCCGCTGTGGCTTCTCTTTATCAGATTCCAGAGTCCAATGGTGGAGCGGGGAGGGGGGCAGAAGGGAGAGAAAAATCAAGATTTTCCCAACTTGGTTTTCACTCTATAAGAGCACACTGGTTTGGCGATGGAGCTGCAGGTCACGAATCGATCCTTCCATAGGAAGAAAACACTGGAGAAAGAGAGAGAAAGAGACAGACAGAAAGAGAGAGAGAGAGAGAAGAATGTTAGTATTAAAAACAGGATCCCCTCCAAAAATACAGAAAGTCCTCAATGTACCACAGTTCGTTTAGTGACCAAAATTACCACAGCAGCAGAAAAGCGGTGCTCATTTCTGTTCCAAAGCCGAAGAGCCAGCGCTGTCCGAAGACGTCTCTGTGGTCATGTGGCCGGCAGGACTAAACGCCAAAAGGCGCACGGAATGCTGTTCCCTTCCCACCAAAATAGTGGTCCCTATTTTTCTACTTGCATTTTTTTTTTTTACATGTTTTCAAACTGCTAGGTTGGCAGAAGCTGCTGGGACAAGGAACGGGAGCTCACTCCGTTCGGTGGCGCTAGGGATTCGAACGGCCGACCTTTCTGATCGACAAGCTCCGCGTCTTGGCCACTGAGCCACCGCGTCCCTGAGGAATCGGTCTAGTAGGGGATTTGGAAAAGGAATTTGCCTTGTTCTCAGTCCTCATGCCAGCTGTCCGTTGAAGAGACCCAGCCCACTCTGGAGTGAGGTTACCCCCAGAAATCGTTCCTCTGCCTCCAATACTCACTCCTCTCTCTCAGGCCTTGCCCAAAACTCTGATAGACGTGAAACAGTGCCCAAAACAGGACGCTTTTGATTATCACTGAAATGCAGGAGCAGGTGATGATGGCAGCTTCCAGGGCATAAGAATTCCCTTGGCCCCATTCTGTTATCACCTGGAGGTGGAGAAAAAAATATGGATAAATACATTTGTCACTGTAAAACAATCCTTGGAGACAAAATGGGATGAAATTCACACCTGTCTGCATATAAGTGCATCCCACCGCAGACCCACAGCTTGTTCCTCGCCAGCAGCAAAATTTAACCAGCCACGGTTTGCAGCTGCAAGCTGGGAAAATCATACACACATACACACTAAACCACTGTTTCTTTTGATCCTGGTTTGTCAGTGGATTTCCAAAAGTGGTGCTTTGCCTCTACCTGGCCTAATCTCTCCGCACCATCTACCTTGCAGGGATGTTGCCCTAGGATCAGAGTGCGCTCTCTTGGATCGGAAAACCGAGGTCCACGGGTATTCTGAGGTCTAATTGGGAGATTTTGCCCATCCCAAGGTTTGCAGGGCTTTGCCGGAGAGGGGAGGGGAGGGGAGAGAGAAGGGAAAGGAAAGGAAAGGAAGAAAGGAAAGGAAGAAGAGAGAAGGAAAGGAAAGAAGGAAAGGAAAGGAAGAAGAGAGAAAGGGAAGGGAAGGAAGAGACAAGGGAAAGGAAAGGAAGAAAGGAAAGGAAGAAGAAAGAAGAAGAAGAAAGAAGAAGAAGAAGAAGAAGAAGAA